CCACTTGACGCTACAAATGCTTTGATTGGTCAATTAGTAAAATTCTTTCTTCCGATTGGAATTTATATAATTGGAAATATGTGCAAAATTAATCATCATGATCAAGGAGTTAATGCATTATATATCAAATGTAAAAGACTTTATATGTGTCAAATCATTCTGTAAATTTTCTTGTATAATATTTTGTAATTTAATTTGCATTATTTCATAGGTTTGTAAGAATTCAACATTCATATTACAGATATTATTGAAAACAGTATCTAATAAAACAGTATCTACAAAAAAAGACAATGTCAATGATGTCTGCAATACAAATATTAAACTTTTACAAACCTATGAAGTAATGCAAGTTACTAAATATTATACAAGAAAATAAAGTTTTAAAAGAAAGATTTCATCATTTATAGGATAATTTGATACATATAAAGTCCTTTACATTTGATATGTAATACATTAACTCCTTGATCATGATGGTTAATTTTGCACATACTTCCAATTGTATAAATTCTGTAAGACATCTTATTATAAGAGATAAAATTTTTAATATTCTGATCATGATATACATGCTATTTATATAGAATTTATTGGCGATTATAGCTACTTTTAAAAGTAAAAGTTTGAATATGTATATGTTTTTTTAATTAAAGCGGTTTGATAATAAAACTAAAATTTACATATATGACAAAATAATTGTGTTTGATTTTTTAATTGTAAGAAACATAAAGATTGTTGGCGCGTGTCGGTGTTTAGCTCAGCGTGTGATGCCAGCCTATTGACTTGCGAAGTGATTGCGACATGATTGCGGCATGGTTGCGGCGTGCCGTGTCGCTGATGAGGCCTAACCGAGGAGGAGGGCATGCGCGCGACTATGCTGCTTGCGTGCGAATCCGCCGCGCTTCTAGATTTTTCGGCGCTTCCGTGTGCGATCTCCTTGCGGTGAACACGTACAAGACCGATGCACAAACCGTTTTTTATTCTTTAACCTGATAGTGTACGCGAGTGCAAATCAAGAAATAATAAGCATTTTATATCAAGGCAAAGTTTCAGCTTTTATCACGCGCAGCCAATTTCTTCGGACAAGGCATGAGACACAAGTTTCCGACTACGAGAAAACAGCGTTTCACATAACGCAATGAGGATACCGAGGTCCTCTTCCTAACATTGGTCTTTCGAGCCGGATATTCACAAATTCCGACAGACTTCGGAGTTCGGTGAATTGCCAAGGTATTACACAGGTATTACATACACAGGCAGTTATATTCATTTTCTAAGGTCATGTGCAAGCGTATCGGTCGCACACGATAAGTACTCATAAGCCTTATCTCAGGCATACATTTAGAGGGGAGTAAGAAAGTTTTTTTTTATATTCACAAGAACGCATTAGGCGCATCATATTTAAATAGACATCGGCATAACGAGGTCTTTGCTTTCAAGAGCCACCATATTGTCGTTTATCACTTTCGCTCACAAGAGCCGCCATATTGTATGCTATCACTCTCGCTCACAAGAGCTGCCATTTTGTGATTATTAGAAGAAGCTAGATTCGTGCCTACACGGGCGGCCATGCATTTTCATAAAACCTTGCATTTCATTGTCCAGACTGTCACATTGTAATATTATAACGGCTTCGCGTTGCCACGCAGTCAATATCACGCATTACATTTAACGTTTCATAATGGAAATATTCCCATTGGCGGACGCAAAAATTAAGAGAGCTCACATAAAATCCGCGGTTACACGGTTAAAGACTTTTATCGACAATTTCGACGTCAACTGCGGATCGTAACATGGGCTCACTGAGCGCAAGCAAAGATTATCGGAATTGTGGAATCAATTCGAAGCAGCTCAATTTCGCATAGAAATTCTTGAAAACGCAGATCCTTCGATTACCGACAAAAGAGTTCTCCATGACCAGCACGCGCAACAGTGCGACAATTTTGAAGCTTCTTATTTTCAGTTAATGACTTGTTATACCACTCTTATTGAGCGTATGGAAAAAAACGCATTTCCGCCAACTTCATCAAGCATAAATGAGCAAGCGGTGAGATCGAGGGAAACGCGTGTTAAATTGCCTAAAATAGATTTACCAGTTTTTGCAGGTGCATATGTACGATTGATATTCCTATAGGGATACCTTTGAACAGTTAATCCATTTAAATAAGGGTTTAGCAGAAATTGAAAAATTTCATTACCAGAGATCTTCCTTAAAGGACACTGTCTCTGATATAATTAAATCCATAGAGACCACTGCAATTATCATGAAGCATGGGTCAAAGAACATTTCGACAATCAGAGATGGATTATTCAAAAGCATGTTCGCGCTTTATTTGAGGTACCGGCTGTACGTAAGGAAAATCACAGCATGACTCGTGAATTATTAGATACTTTTCTTAAACATTTGCGCGCGCTCAAGGCCCTCGGAAGGCCTACTGATTATTGAGATGATTTAATTATTCATCTTATCATTTGTAAGTTGGATGTAGTCACCAGCAAGGCTTAATAAGTATCAAGGTAAAAGAGCTGCCAGATTTAAAGAGTTTAATAGAATTCTTGACTCTCCGATGCCAGGCATTGGAATCAGTACATGATAGATTTTACAATAACGTAATAAGTAGTATCACATCAAAGCATAATAGCAATTCAAGGTTCACGTCTGTCGCAAATGTCGCTACATTCAATCTTTCTTGTGTTGTTTGCAAGGAAAACCATTCAATATATCATTGTAAAGAATTCCTCAATTTATCGGTTGAAAATAGAATTAAGGCAAAAAAAGCACATTTATGTCTCAATTGTTTAAGATCGAACACACATCAAGCGAAAGTATGTAATTCAAGTATGTGCCGAAAATGTGGCAAAAAACATAACACATAAGTGCTCTGAATAGTTCGGATATATCGTGATCAAACACGCAAGCAGCAAGTCAAGCAGTCAATCCTCCACTCCCCGTCGCCACGCAATGTACATCAGGTCATCGTTCGTTAAATATTTTACTATTTACCGCAATTATCCATATATACGATTCCAATAATCAAATTCATGTCGAGCATTACTTGACAGCGGTTCTCAAATGAATTTCATAACGAAGGAGTTGGCAAATCGCTTGAAGCTCAGGGAGTGACCTCTTGATGTATCGGTGGCGGGAGTTATAAATGAAATAATCCACGCTAATAATGTAGTTAATCTTTCGCGTCAAATCGCGTTTTAATAATTTCTCCGAAAAAATGGACTGCGTGGTGCTTCCAAAAATAACACAGCAGTTGCCACAGCACTTCATGCCCATGCAAAGTGTGTCTGTTCCAAAACATATAAAATTCGCTGATCCTAGTTTTAACGTACCAGCAAGCATTGATATGTTAATCGGGACCGAGTCCTTCTGGAGACTCATTTGCGCGGGTCAGATTAAACAATAAAAAAATCAGCCAACTTTGCAAAAGACACATTTTGGATGGATCATTTCTGGTATCACACCAAGTGACATAACCGGATCTGTTCCTTTTCTTAATTTTCATTTAACCTTACTCGATGACTTAAGGCTCATATTGAATCGATTTTTGGAGATTGAACATGATACCACTCGTAGGCGTAAAGCGTAATTTAGAAAGTCGTTTTATCGTTAAGTTGCTAACAAAGCAAGACAAACTGGATAAATTGGGAGAATCCAAGGACATCGCTCTAAAATGTTTCAAATCTTTGGAGAAACGGCTCATCGCTCAACCCCGCATGTACGACGAATATAAGAGGTTCATGGATGAATACAGGTGCTTGAATCACATGAAGGAGGTGACCAGGAGCACGATGCTAAGCCATGGCTCTCCAGCTTTCTATCTTCCATATCATGCTGTACAAAGTGAAACGAGTTTCAAGTTTCGGGTGGTATTTGACGGCTCATGCAAGACCACGACCGGACTATCTTTAAACGATACATTGAGAGTAGGACCCACACTACAAGAGGATCTCTTCTCCATTTTGCCAGATTCCGAACATTCAAAATCGCTCTCACAGCCGATATAGCAAAGTTGTATCGGCAGGTTCTGGTCGATTCAACTCAGACATCATTGCAACGTATTTTCTGGCGAGAGTCGCCAGATGAGCCCATTAAGACTTTCGAGTTACTCACTGTCACTTATGGTACGTCATCAGCATCATTCTTGGCTATCAGAGAAAGTTAGCTGAGGACAATGCTGACAGCGGATTGCTATCCGAAAGCGTCACAAATAGCATTGAGGGATTTTTACGTGGATGATCTCGTCACGGGGACTGACTCAATAGATGAAACTCTGTCTATCAAAAAAGAGATCACTGCATTGCTGCAGGACGGGAAATTCGAGCTCAGAAAATGGGCATCCAATGCTCTTGCCCTCCAGGATCAAAATTCCAGCGAGCCAAGAGAATTCACCTTATCCTCAGACAAGAATTCCGAGAAGAAGGCGTTAGGCATTGCATGGGATTACCGAGCTGACGTATTCAAGTATTCGTCCATCAATCACCTGCCTTCTCTGGAGACGCCTACCAAACGAAGCATTTTATCACGCATATCTCTCATTTTTCAACTCACTGGGGCTGTTAGGTCCAATTACATTACTCGCCAAATCCATCATGCAGGACCTCGATTCAGGCTTGATTGGGATGAATCAATTCCCTAGGAGTTACATACCAAATGGAAGTGTTTCGAAACGGAGTTACAGGAACTGCGTGGCATACGCATTCCTCGTCTTGTCACAACCACAGAACAATATATTAGTTTGGAGCTACATGGTTCTCAGACACTAGCGAAATTGCATACGGAGCATGCATCTATTTACGCTCCACTTCAATCAACGGTGCTTATCGCACATACTTACTTTGTTTCAAATCCAAAGTGGCACCATTGAAGAATCTGTCGCTTTCGCGCCTCGAGTTATGTGGCGCATTG